CTGTTTCTGAAGATGGAAGCTCTAAGTAGGCATTATGTTGCTGAAAGCTGGACAGACCGACTCTGTTTGGCATGAATAAAGGGCGTAAAGATTGGGTTCTCCCTCCTTGGCTCAGAACCGGGCAGCAGAATTGGGTGGTCTGCCCTTCAGCTCATCCAAGTCTGGATGACAGTAGGTAGCAGTGAACAAAGCCACAGAAACCTCAAGGGAGTTGTGAGCCAAGCAGACTCAACACCTGCCCCATGCCCCAATTTGGCCTGTTGTAGCGTCTAACACCCACGGTGCCACGGTTCAATCACTGTTAAAGACCCGTTCACCTTTGTATGCATCCTGTCCTTCCAGGCACAAAGGCAGAGTTAATGGAGTGAGAACAGGACCCAGAAAACCACCACTCAGAGTACATTAACATCTATTTGGGAGGGTGTGGACAGAACCAAGGATGAATCAATAAGGACATTTAAGAAGGAAAACCCAGAGGATTGGTGTAAGGTAGGATGAATCACGCCCAGCTTGTATACACCAAGGGAGAAAGCAACCCAAGTTTGAGGTGAATAATGTCTATCACTAATCGTTGTGCTATCTCTTGTGCACAGCATTCTCAATTTCAATCACTTGAGGGAAGCAAGGAATGAACAAATGAACTAGAGAGCTAGTTCTGAAGGCAGGGAGTCGGCCCTTGGCTGTGTCACTGCATCAGTGACTTCACATGTAATCCTATTACAGAACATTATAAACAGCTGGATCATTAACTCTGTGGCCGGGGAGATCTGCTACTAAATTTCTAGAGAAATTACCTTATTAAAAAATACATACAACTTTTTCTCTGTAAAGGTACTCTCACAACTAAAAAAAAATGTGTATTATAGGAGGTTGAATAAGACCTTAAGTGTCTTTTGGCTATTTGAACTTCTTCTGTTGAGAATTCTGTTCAGTTCAGTAACCCATTTTCTAATTGGGTTAATTAGAGTTTTAACGTCCTTAGCGATCAGGGAAATGCAAATCAAAACAACTTTGAGATACCATCTTACACCTGCCAGAATGGCTAAAATCAAAAACCCCAATGATAACCTTTGCTGGAGAGGATGTGGAACACTCATCCATTGTTGGTGGGAATGCAAACTTGTGCAACCACTTTGGAAATCAGTGTGGCGGTTTCTCAGGAAACTGGGAGTCAACCTCCCTCAGGACCCAGCAGTTCCACTCTTGGGAATATACCTAAGAGATACCCTATTATACTACAAAAGCATTTGTTCAACTATGTTCATAGCAGCACTATTTGTAATAGCCAGAACCTGGAAACAACCTAGGTGTCCCTCAATAGAAGAATGGATAAAGAAGGTGTGGCACATCTACACATTAGAGTTCTACTCAGTGGTAAAAAAACAATGACGTCTTGGAATTTTGCATGCAAATGGATGGAAATTGAAAACACTTTACTGAGTGAGATAACCCAGACCCAAAAAATGAACATGGTATTTACTCACTCATAAGTGGATTCTAGCCATAAACAAAGGACATTGAGTCTATAATTCGTGATCCTAGAGAAGCTAAATAAGAAGGTGAACCCAAAGAAAAACATATATTTATCCTCCTGGATATTGGAAGTAGACAAGATTGCAGGGCAAAAGTTGGGAGCATGGAGGTGGGGTGGGATGGGGGGAATGGGAGATGGGGAGAGAGAAGGGAGAAGGAGAGAATTGGGGAGAGCTTGGGGAATGGGATGGTTGAGATGGAGGAAGGGTGGATATGGGAGCAGGGAAGAAGATATCTTAATTAAGAAAGCCATTTTAGGGTTGACAAGAGACTTGGCTCTAGAGGGGTTCCCAGGTGTCCAAGGAGATGTCCCCAGCTAGGTCCTTGGGCAGCAGAGGAGAGGGTGCCTGAACTGGCCTTATCCCATAGTCACACTGATGAATATCTTGCATATCACCATAGAACCGTCATCCGGCGATGGATGGAGATAGAGACAGAGACCCACATCCAAGCACTGGACTGAGCTCCCAAGGTCCATATGAAGAACAGAAGGAAGGAGAACATGAGCAAGGAAGTCAGGTCTGCAACGGGTGTGTCCACCCACTGAGACAGTGGGACTGATCTAATGGGAGCTCACCAAGGCCAGCTGGACTGGGACTGAACGAGCAGGTGGTCAGAATGGACTCTCTGAATGTGGCTGACAATGAGGGCTGACTGAGAAGCCAATGATAATGGCACTGGGTTTTGATTCTACTGCATGTACTGACTTTTTGGGAGCCTAGTCTGTTTGGTTGCACACCTTCGTAGACCTGGACGGGGTGGGGGCTTGGAATTTCCACAGGGCAGGGCACCCTGACTTTTCTTAGTACTGGAGAGGGAGGGGGAGGAGTGGGTGGAGTGGAAGGGAAATGGGAGGAGGTGGAAATTTTTAATGAATGAATAAATAAATGAAAAATAAATATTTTACACACAAGTAAAGTATTTACCAATGTTGTTATTGTTTTATGCAGGTATCTATAAGCATATGTATGACTACAATGCTCTCTCTTATCTTGCATATGAATTGTTATAGTACAGAATACTGTGAAAGTAAAGTGGATATTCTGGTAAATATTAAAGCCATTGCTTGGTTGTGAAATTATTTTGTGTATGGAATTTAGCTGTTCTCTTGAAATATGTGTTTCGGCTTTCCACACCAATGTCCTTTGCCTACGAAGATGTACGCCAGCAGACTGTCATAGCACCATGGTGTCTCAGACGCCAGCTAGGGTCAATACCTTACCATATTTTGTTGACTCTTGGACTTCTACAGCTGTTTCGTGCTATGGTTTTCTGCATCTTTCTTAAGTGTTGGAAGTCATGGTTCCCTGAACTTCCCTTATTTCCTGGTAGCTCTGCAAGGCTTCCCTACTACCCAAGTCACACTCTCTCAAAATAACAGCCAGAACAAGGTCCAAGTTTCATGGGCGCTCTCGGCAAGTCCTTTCAGGGGCACCTCCCTGGGCTCTGTCCAGGCCTGGATCTAGCCAAGAGAATCGCCATTACCAGGACTCTGACCGTCTCATATGCACATTAATCTGTTACACACTATGTTCCTCTTGTCTGTGCAACTCACGTTTGCCCTTTACCTACTTTAGTCTGTCATAAATGTATAAAACGTCAGCTCCGAATCATCATGGAAATGTAGTTTGCAGCAACTGAAAACAACTGGAAGACAATGTGCTTATGAAAGGTTCACATTGGTGAGTGTGCTGATATGTGCTATTAATCTTACTTTTATCTGTCATCTAAAAAATCCCAAATGCAAGTCTTATCTATGGAAGCAGTTTTCAAAGTGAGTTCCTAGGTGGCTCTGCTGGTTCTGTCTGGGCTGTGGCATCTGTGCTGCGGGGACCTCCCACAAAAGCTCAGGGAGCCAGACACACAGCAAGCGTATCTAGTGTTCCTTTCACAGTAGTACCCGACATCAGAGACGTTGTTATGCTCTAGGAAACATCTTCTAGAGTCACTTGAAATATTACCAAAGCAGCAACTGTCAAACCCCAAGTGGCTGTGGATGATTTAACAAGTCAAGCTTTAGAACCTGGGAAACAGCAATTCCTTGTTTATAGTGGAGGAGAGACTGTGAGCAAGTTCCTTGTATCATTTTTATACAGCATAGACATTAAGGGCAGAGCTATGGTGGGGAGATGACCCAAAAATGGAGGAAAGGCTCTCTGGATAACCCAAGTCTCTCCTCAGAGATTCGCCTGGGGAGTGTGGGGAGGAAGGTCTTCAAGATGCTAGATTTTGTCTCAATAAGAGGATGAGGGAGAAAGGCATGGCCACAGATCTGAACGTCAGCCACAGCAAGACTTCAGAAATGGGATCTGTGGTATGAGGTGGTAAAAGGGTAGGTGGTTTAGGGAGCTTGAGAAACCTGCTGAACTCTGCAAGCCTACAGTAGGAAGCAGGATACCATTATTATGCAGCTAAAGAGTTCTTGGATATAGTTATGTGTGTTTATTTATATTCTAGAAATATATACATATGTGTGTATGTATATCCCTGTTTTCAGTCGATAAGGAGGGCATAATAAATTCCAAGAACAAACATACTACAACATCAAACAGAACTGTGTGGGAACTAAGGCACAGAGTGAAACAAAGCTGGAGTCAATGTAAAGTCGCCTTACTGCTGTGTTCAAAGGAAGGAAAGGCGGTTTGTTGGCCCTGAAGTGGTCTTCAGCTCCAGACAGGGGACCCGCTCAGTCCCAATCAGCAGCCAGCAGAATCACTATGTCTCACCTCAAACTGACAGCATTACTGGCTTCTGCCAGACTGTCCTTTCTGTGGGAGAAGATTGTTTTAGAATGAAAATATGGACCCAAACGCATACGTGAGGGCACTGCAGGGATGCTGCTCACCTGACTGAAAGATGAGTCACTGTAAGCCTGTGATCAGCCTTGAGGGTGAGGGAGAGAGAGATCTTTAGAGGCAGCCAATGCTATTGCCAAACTTATTAATGAAGTTTTCCTCAACTCTTTCTGGGACATACACACACACACACACACACACACACACACACACACACACACACACATCTCTACTTTGGATCAATACAATGGTATTATCCTATACTATTTTTGTATATCTGATTAGGAAATAAAAATTCTATTTTTGTATGCAAAATTGTATTGACAAGTTTCTGATTCAAGGAATTTTGTATATGGACAGTTTAAAAATTGAAATTAAAATGTCATTTTTCTCCCTTGTACATCTCCTAAACACGATAGTTTCTTCAGATACTCACCAAAGTATTTTCTTAAAGCAGATACTTAGGTCAAAGGGAAACCAACGCACTAGACTGCTACGATCAGTGAAGATGTGAATTCTCAGTCCTGAAATTCTCAGGATTCATGGCTTGCAGTACACCGTGTGTGTGGATAAGAGTTTATAAACAGAATATCAGAATTTGAAAATAACGGTACTCTCTATCTTAGTAGGGGAAAGACATTAGAGAAAACAAACTGTGGAAAGACAAACACATTCTTATAATTATGAACTTTATTTTTTTATTTACTAAGCCAACATGTTCAGGAAAGAGACTTTACATCTGGTTTCCATAATTCCTTTACAGGCAAATTCTAATATACAATATGTACTCTGAACTGGATTGTAAAATCAGTGGGGAAAACGACATTGCAGACACTGTTTCTGGTTTTAGTCGTGACTAAGTTCTCAAGGCCAGCATTACTCATCATGGCAATACACTACCAAGAAAAAAGGGGGCGCCTTTTACTCAACAAGGTGACGACACAGTCTTTAATCAGTTACATAATTATAGAAACCTCATTATCATCTGTCCAAATGTATCCTCTCAAACTGCTGCAGCAAAAACTTAAAGAAACCTGTGGAAAGACCAACAGAAAATAGAACTCAAGCATCAGAATCAAGAAAACAGCAAGGCCATCATCTCCAAGGGAAACCTTACATATTTATATTACGGCTATACTTCATTTTCAAATGTGTGCATAAGCATGCAGAAGTAACTACCCAAGTTAACTCAGCAACACGGAAGCTACAGTGTAGGATGGAGGGTGTGGGAATGGAGCTGCTGTCTTCCTGGCCTTCAGTACAAGCACAGTTGACCCCAAAGTGCATCCTCAGGAAGCTGGTCAGACCACTCTGGTAGCAAACAAGAACACCTGTGTCTGGAACACCATCGGTGGCATGGAACCTTTCCAAAATGACAGTTATGGGGATGAAGTTGCCTTTGATACATTGAGTAAAATACTAAAAGGGACAATGAACATTCAAAGAAAACTTCGTGCTATCATGGGCAAAGTGGCATGCTGGGATAAAGTTCAGTGAAAGGCTCTACGACTTCCTTCCCACAGGAACATTTACAGAGAAATTCATTTCACTAAACAAAGCCACACCCACAGGAGGCAATTTGATATTTCAGGCACAACTATTAGCAATTAAGCTCATTTAAAGTGCATATCTGATATTTTCTTTCATACTCAGATTTTTTACTTACTAAATGCTTAGTAAGTTCCCTAACATCTATATAAATACAGTGAACAGTAGTTAATATGCCTGAAAATAGAGTACAAATGAAAAATGAGACTCCAAAAGAAAAATCACAGGTAGATGGTCTGTGATTAGAAACCATCTACAATGCTTTGTTGTAAGCCGTGGAATCACCTGTACCTATACCAATGAACATCTTAGTTCAAACTTTCTTTGAACAAACTCAGGGCCACATAGCAAAACTGTAGCTCAAAATTCAATAGTCTGAAACGCATCCTGTTAAAAGTCAAATGAACAATTCTGTATATTTTCTTTCCACACATGTAAAAACTGCCCAACTTCCCCTTGGCACTTGGAGCTCGCCCACTCCCACTATCCTCACCGAAAGAACAGAGTGAGCTACGTTCCTGTGAAGACAGTAGGCAGAGTGCTGGTTTACAGATGCACTCAAGAGATCAAGGCAGATGTGAAGAGTGTGACCTCTGTTTACGCAGCAGTGCTGTGCCCTCATCTCCACTTCTCAGTATTCCTAGGAGTAGACAAGATGTTCTTGCAGCTTTTACAAAAAAACTGCAGACAAATATTCTGTTATTTGCAAATGCATCCTAGATGTCTTCTCTAGGTAATGTATTTGAAGCATACATTGTTTTAAAAGTATGCTGATGAGGGATGGGGATGGAGCTCATGTGGCAGAGTGCTCGCCTACCACACGAGGCTCTGGATTTGACTTCCAGTGCCACATAAAATCAGGTGTGGTCGTGCACTCTTGTAATCCCAGTACTCTGGCGATGAGGACAGGCGAGAAAACATCCAAGGTTATCTTTGGCTATACAGTGAGCTAGAGCCCAGAATGGAATATGTGAGGCTCTTGTATCAACCAAAAACAAAGAAGAAGGAAAAATATATAATAATGAGTCTACCTATGTTCTATCAAGACTGAGGCCCAACAACGCTACAGAGGATAAACTGGTGGATGCATATTTCTGCAAATTCATCAGGGAGAAAAAAATTAAAAGGGCCAAAGATTAAAATAAACAAATTACTGGAGTCAACATTTTCATCTAACAGACAATGAAGACATTTCCCTCAAAGCAGAGGGTTATAAATAAATTATAAAAATTGAAACTTTCCCCTAAGGATAAGGCCAACCCGCAAAAGCACTTCACAAAAGTCTATACAAACCTCTAATTTAAGAAACAGACACTAGTACGTTCTACTGCAGGAGCTAGAGTATGATTGTAGCTGACACGCAATGATGAGATTAGCTTCTCTTCCCCACAAGGGGAAAGCACATGAGCTCACATACAGCTGCAAGCAGCCTGGCTCTCATTCATGAACAAAGGGGTGCTTCTGCCCACAGCAGTGATGACGCCATAGCATCTGGCCTACGTCAGGGTGTCCTGAGCTTCGGTTCTTCTCTGACTAAAGTGCTGTGGTGTGAGACTATACTCATCCACTCCCAAACCCAAGAAAGGTCAGCATCTCCAAATGGCAAACTGACTTGAGGGATCACGACACAGTAGGTGAAGACTGCCCCTAGATGGCAGCAAGTGTAACTGAAGCTTTCCACTAACCAACTGGATACCAGGGTTCTCTTTGTAACCTAGTGACATTTAAAAAAGAAGCCTAGCAGCTTAACTGTTTTGGCTACAATTCCTTTTGATAGATTTTTTTTTTGGTCAGCTAATAACCTGTAAGGTTATTTGTCTGAAAAATCTTAATTTGAATTAAATGACCAGCCTAAAGATGGCATGACTTGGACAAATGTAAGGTAAATTTACTCAACTGCTTGAGAAATGGTCAGCAGCATGGGTGGGTTTCTGTAGCCCCCACAGCTACCTTCTGCAGCAATCCTTCAGGAAGAACAGCTTCCTAGCTACAATTTCATTCCCCCCACTCCAAATCTACTTTTCAAGAAATCTTCATTCAAAATAGAAAAGGGAAACTCAGGAAACCCAGAAAAACAATTTATCATGATATTCTTAAATTTATATATATTTTCTCAGTGTTTTAACTCATTTTTATAGAAAATAAGCTTTAAATTCCTCTTATATCGCATCAAAATTTTGTGCAAATATTTCAAGTCCATTATTCCAGTCTTCAGATATTAGCAAATAGTCAAAATCAATACAATTATTACAATAAAAACTTAACTTTAAATTTTCCATGTATGTTATGGAAACTTAAAGTAATATGATGGATCAATAAGTTAATAGGGTTTAAAACTCAATTACCAGCAAAACTCTAGCACCAACAGAGGTTACAACCAATACACCCTTAGGCATCTCAAGCTCTCCAAATTTACCCAGTAGCAATGTAAGCATATAGTACATGTGTGTATGAAACAAGGTGTTATAATAACATCTACTTGGTTTACATAAAATAATGAAAACTGTCAGCCCGGGAAATTTGTCTGAAAAAAGGAGAAACAGTAGGACTATATTATTGACCCTAGAAAGGAAAGATAAAACCTATAAGGATTCCCCCACTAAAAGCCTGGTCTTTATTCATTGTGGAGATTTTGCATAGACCACAGAAATATACAAAACACTGGCCAGAACCCTGCTTATGGACAATCATCTTCCATCATCACTATGGATCTTTAGTTCAAATAGTAACCATACTCACAGTAAGAGTAAGCAAAGGGGTGAAGTTTTAATAACCAGTTATGGGCCACAACAGGACTAAATTAGCAAAGTACATATGTTGCCTGGTAAATGGAATACTTGACTTTTTCGGTGTGCAGAGATGGGGCTGGATAGTATGACTTAGCCTCTGAGATGGATAAGTAAACTTGTGTTTACCTGAGACAAGAATGTGCAAATGGTATAAAGTTCAACTAGAATAGAAAATGGAAGAGCCAAACTAGTAGAAGCTTCTGAGTTTTAATTTTAAGATTTGCTGTAATGGAACCTCCAACATAGTAATACACTGCACATAAAGCTATCACAGAGCAGACTGTTTTCGAAAGACAAATTGGCAGGTGATGGCTATGCACTTAATGTATCTTTGGTTTAGGAAGACGAGAATATCGATTAGAGGCCACACAGTCCCCAGAATGCAAACTGCTGTGTGGATTCTGCAGTTCTTTTGGTCGTGCTAATGGCCTTGGGATGCTTGTCTTGGCCTGGAAGTTTTGAGGCTCTAGTTGGGAATTGCTGATTTGTTTTTGTTTCAAAGTGCCAGAAGGGGGACGGAGTTTAGATGTTTTCAGATTTAAATTGTTTGCAAGATTGTTTTGATTAGACATTGGCTGATGCTTTGAATTACATGGTGCGATTACTGGTGACTTCTTATATGTGGAAGTCCTACGTGGTGATGAATCAGAATCTGGATGTGCCAAAGAACTCAAGATGGATGGCTTTAAATGCTTGGACTTGAGCTGAGGAGACTGGTTTCTTCCAACCCTCTTAGTCTGGTCCACTGTACTTGACTGGGAAGGTGTCTGAGGAGGAGTAGGTACAAACTGCATGTCACTAGTTTGATTCTTTGCCAAATGATACGGCTCTTGAGCATTCATAGTCATGCTCAGGTTCGTTTCAGAAGGTATGCCCTTCACCACATCCACTGTGAACTGTGAGCTTGGCGACAAAGGACGGTCTTCCAAATCATAGCTGTTTTCTTGTTGCAAGCCATGTGTAAAGCTTCCATCTGGATGGACACCATCCTGGCACATGCCTTGGACTATGTGTTCACTGTGGGCCTCGGTATGTTGTGGCTTTATTAGTGTTCCCTGGGCGTGGTCTGTAGATCTGGGAAGGCTGCTGGAAGGCTGTAGTACTTGAGGCTGTTAAAATAAAAAAAAAATCAATAATTTATATTAGAAATTTACCCAGAATGAACGCAAGTACAACTGCACTTACGCAAAGTGCCACCTATTATATTTTAATATGGAAAACGTGATTTTTTTTAAAGTAAAGAATGAATTGCAGGATCCAAGCAAACTCATGATACATATTAAATGATAATGCAAACAAAAATGATACAGGCAGCAAACACCGAACAAGATCCAAAATTAAATGGGACAAAAGAAAGTCTTTAAATATTTAATGAAGAAAAATCCCCGCATCATTAGATTTATCATCTTCAACATTATCTACAAGGGCTACAGAGGAAAATTTCATTAGTGCTTTGAGTGTCCTTAAGTGGCGCTCACATTTATAATAGTAAACTTCAAGATATTGTCTGCTTTATTTTATGCACATCATTGTTTTGCATGCATGTGTATATGTGCACCAAGTGTCTCTGGTGTCCTTGGAGGCTAGAACACGGTATCACTTCCCAAGAACTAAAGTTACACGTGGTTGTAAGGTGATTGTCGGGAACTGAACCCTGGTCCTGTGCAAGAGCATTCAGAGCTTTCAACCACTCAATCATTTCTCCAGCTATTATGCATTTTAAAGTTCATTTTTATGCATGTTGCCAAACGCTGTATCTCTTTTACCAAGAGATACACAAGGTTTAGGAAAGACTATATGTGAAATTCTAAAGATTTACACAAAAGTGTCCGATACACTTAATCCAGTACATGCACAGCACTAACTTCAACCCTTAGAGGCCCCAGTCACCCAACAATCTTTTCAGTGACAGCTGAGAGAGCATAAACACGCAACCACCTGGAACTGGAACCAAAGCACAGCAGCCAAGTTCTCAAGGCTTTGCAGCTTTGCGTGCCCTCAGCGGCTTAATATGATACTATCTATACAAACTCGAGAAAACATGTGACTCCTTTTTTGGGGTTATCCAGTAAAAAAAAGTACAAAATGACATAGGAGTCAGTTAAAACAAATTAATAACAATCATTTCCTCTCTCACACACCTACTTTCTATTTAATATTTTGGGCTAAAACATCAAAAACTTTGGGTGTGAAATGTGGATTTTTAGCAGATCATTTTCACTAATAAAAATACTTTTTAACTATGCTAACCTACAAAGAAACCTACACAGTATCTCTCACATTTCCGCTGAAGGGACAGATCTAACTGACTGCATCTTTGTGTTCTTTTACCCCTTGACTAGTAGTAGAAGCGGCTGCCCAGGGTCAGTAGTGAGAGACTGAAGTGGCATAGCTGGGAGTCACTGGGAACAAGATCACCACTAAGCAAGGACGACTGAGGGCTGACCAGGGCTTTAATGTGGGCAGGAGGATTTATAAGATATCTTGCCAGTCAACATTCCAGCATGGAGGAAGGAAGCGCTAACAAGTCCCAACTCCTGAGGAGCTAGCTATGTACAGCTGATGGCTTTGGGAGAGCACTGTCTGTATTCTTTGAGGGGTATTACCTCTGACAGTTAGCTAAGCTCCAGGGGAAAACCCTACACCAGGAAGAACATGGGCAACAAAAACTGGATGAGGTTATTTTATTTTTAGTCTTTAAAAAGAATACAATGTTGGGAGTGGGTGAAGAGGGGAAAGTATATCTCGGAGTGCCTAGTGGAATAAATGAGGAGGTGAGAATGATCAAACCACCTTGTATGCGAATAAAAAGTTCTTTACGAATAAAAATACTATATTTAAAAGGCAGAACAATAATCAAAACTAAACTGTACAGAAAAATGAATGTTAACATTAACTCTAGCTCTAGAAAGTTTAAAATAAAGCTAGCCCAATTGCTGCCTAATGCGAACTACCCAGACCGCACTTGTTCTCTCCTTTCGCCTCCAAACAGAGGAGTTTTCCCACATCAGTTTAAAAGATCTTAAAGCAATTTAGGAACTGAAAATATCAGTGACAATTTTAAAAGATGACTTTTTTTTTCCCTTTGGTATTTTGAGACAAGGTTTCTCTGTGTAACAGTCCTAGCTGTCCTGGATCTAGCTCTGGTAGACCAGGCTGGCCTCCAATTCATGGAGATCCACCTGCCTCTGCCTCCTGAGTGTTGGGATTAAAGGTATGTGCCATCATTGCCTGGCTAAAGATGATTTTTCTGCAGTATGATTATTGCCCTAGAAATAAAAAGATGCTACTGGCCTGCAAAAACATTTTTTTCTTATTAAGGCAAAGTAACCAGAGCGCCAAGCTTCCAAAAAAGGCTCACTGTGACCTGAAGGTGACACAGCCATTTGCCCTGCTAATTATTCACATTCCCTTCTTCTCATGGAGAAACACAGAATTAGAAAGACCTGGTGGATGTATTCAACATAACAAACTCTAGTTACAAGATTGACAAACGGAAAATGGCGAATCTTCTAAGAATATACAATGTTCAGTCTTCTAGCAGAGAAAACAAGATTAAATAGTTATACATACAAAAGTCTAAACTATCATCTGTGGTAATTTGAATGTAAATGTAATTGGTTTCATAATCTCATAGGGAATTAGGATCTATTAGGAGGTACATCTTTGTTGCAGAGGGTAAGGCCTTGCTGAATGAAGTATGTCACTGTGGGGTGGGGGGAGGTTGAGGTTTCTTTTGCTCAAGCTTCCCTCAGTGTGACTTTCAGTTGACTTCCTGTTGCCAGCAAGATGTAGCAATCTCAGCTCCAGCACAATATCTGCCTACATGCCGTCATGCTCCCAGTCATGACGATAATAGACTGAACCTCTAAATTTCAAATGAGCCACCCCAATTAAATGTCTTCCTTTTAAGAGTTGTGGTCATGGTCTCTCTTCACAGCAATAAAAACCCTAAGACAGAAATTGGGACCAGGGACTGGGGTATTGCTGTGATAGGCCTGATCGTGGTTTTGTTTAGAATAATATGGACTTTGTGTTAGAAAACCAGAGGAATGCTTTAAGCACGACTTAATGGGCCATACTAGTAGGAGCATGGAAGACAAAGGTGCTAAGAGTTATTCGAATTGCCAGGGCCTTACTCAAGAAGTTTCAAAGGAGAAGAATTTTAGTATGTTGCCTATAGCTCTTTCTTGTGATATTTGGTGAAGAAAGTAGTTGCCTTTTGCCCTTATCCAAAGAGTCTGCCTGAGGCTAAAATGAAGAATTTTGGATTAATTCTCTTGGCAAAGAAATTCTCAAAACAATCTAGTCCAGACTCTATCATGTGGATATTAGTGGCAACTCTAATGAAGATTTAAAAGGAAAAGAAGCAAGTTGAGTAGGAGTAAACTACAAAATGTAAATTTTGAGGAGAAAAAGAGAACTAGACTAGTTAAACTAGAGCTAACTCCTGTGTACAAGGAGATAAATGATAAATGTATTGAGAAATGAAATCAAGGGAGTGGCAAGAGCCCACCCAGCTAAGAATCCAATTTGAGAAAAAAGGAACTAAAGAGAGTGTGGAGCTTGTCCAGTTGAATTTTGTTCTTCATTTGGTCAAGTATTTCCTTGGTATGCTCACTTTCCTGCATTTTGGAATGGTAATGTATATCCTGTGTCGTCATATGTGGGAAGCATATGATCTGCTTTTTGATTGATTTTTTACAGGTGATTAGAGTTAGATTGCATGAATCTCAGAAGAGACTTTGAACTGTGGACTTTAAAATATGGTTTAGACTGTGACAGATTATGGGGACTTTTGAAGTTGGACCAAATGCATTTTTCATTATGGCATTATTACAAACTTATGGGAGCCAGGGAGTGGAATGTAGTAGTTTGAATGTAACTGGCCCCACAATCTCATAGGGAGTGTCACTATTAGTAGGTATGGCTTTGTTGGAGTAGGAATGGCCATGTTAGAGGAAGTATGTCACTGTGGGGGTACGTCTTGAGGTTTCCTATGCTCAGGATACCACCCAGTGAGTTGGTCAACTTCCTGTCGTCTCTGAGTCATGATGTAGGACTCTCAGCTTCAGCACCACATCTGCCGCATGATGTCATGCTCCCTGCCAAGATGATAATGGACTGACCCTCTGAAACTATAAGTGGGCCCCCTCAATGAAAGGTTTTCATGTATAAGAACTGCTATAGTCATGATGTATCTTCACAGCAATAAAACACCTAACAAAGACACCACCTAATTGAAAAATAAATCAGTTATTTCTATAAGATAAATAATGTAAATTTTATACTTCATACAAAATTACTTTTAGTAATATAATTTTCCTATTCTAAAATGAATTCCCTATGTTTGAAAACTGTGATTTGGAAAATCCAACTGTTAAGAAGAGAAAAAGTCTCTTTCAAGGAGAATAAGAAATTGCTAACAGCAGTGGAGGACAACAGGAGAGGCATCTTTCCACAGTCTAGATTGCTGGTAGCAAACAAACTAGCCAGTGACTGCTACAAAGCACTTATGTCCATCAAATCACAGTCCTAGCAGTGAGAAGACCTGGACGTGAGCACAAAGCTGTTCCTGTGCTTTATGGAGCTTGTAAATAAATAACAAAACCACTTCCAACAACATGGAATCAAAAAGAAAACAAAACCCTGACTGGAGCACAAACATAAAATGTACAAACAATCTGGACTAAAGTTTTAAATTGTGAGCAGGAGTTGCCAGGTAGACAGGAAGGAGGGAACTCTCAGATTGAGCTGAGACACGGCCACGGCTAACAAAGAACATGATGTTCTGCTGTTCTACCATTTAGATGCCATGAGAATGTGGAGAGAACATTGCTGGGAGAACAGGTAAGGCTGGTGCCTACGGGAACTTGCCAAGCTACGTAACTCGGTATGCTAGATTATGAGAGCTACTGATGAATGCTAAGCAGGTCAGAGGATACAGAGTGCTTCAGGAGCTCACTCTGATGGAACCAGTGAGAAATTCAATGAGGGGAAGAAACTCTAAGGAGATATGGTGAGCTACCATCAGCCCAAGTGAGCAATCACCAAAGGCTCAAATAAAGCTTTAAGTGCAAAATGAACATACTTTGGGGGAAGAAGACAG